TTTACCGATACACTTAACTTCAACAATCGCGCTAAAACAAACGCTAATCAACGAACGTCAACAATACTTCTGACTGCAGTTCAATTACTCACTATCTACACACACATTACATTACCGCGTCACGTTGTCCCCTCTTATATATACCCGCCTACCCCATCTAGCAAACACTAGAGCATTCGCCAAAGTACATGATAGTTCTAGAACGTTGCGTCACAGTAGTCATGTGACTCGATGACGCAACAATATATTTGTACTCATGCCTTCGGCTTTTGTGTTTTTTATCGCATCGACGGCTGCATACAGCTGACATGGATTATTCAGATTCGTCTGATTCCAAATAAATTATTATTGATCGATGCAACGTTAATCGTTCGTTTATTAATAAAATAAGAATTATAACTGAATGTTAGACAGCGTGTTGCTTCTTACACAAAACAAGAGCATAGTTGAATACACTAAATTATTCGTGTTGGAAGTGAATTATTGCGCAAGAAGGGAACTGTATGCACTCATCGAACAGTGAAGATAAAAAGACACATAACTGAAACCGCTCTCTCTTTCTTGTTTATGCATTGCTAGATTTACAGTGTTTGAAGCATTACTATTGACGGAAAGATTCCTTATTAATTCACAAAATAAATGTAATTAATATTCAAATAATTGTCTGATTTTTCATCACTGCATTCTTTCATTTTTTGTGTTTTAGGAAAGAGGAATAGAAAATAAAACATACAAGCAAAGTAAGCTGAGCTTTGGGTTTGTAGCAGCAACAGCATCAAACCCACAAAGTTCAACAGAGACGCTCACATCAAATCCACCAAGTTCAGCTACTTCGACACCACTAGCAAAGTCAACGTTCACCCTTCAAACAGGTTGTGCTTATTCTTTTGACTTGGGAATTGATATTCCTAAACAGCCCAAACTTGGCCAATAGCCTGAAACCAATAAGCTACTATTTTGTTCACAGTGGTATAATAACAGATCTTGGCTTGAGTATTCAGTGATAAAAATGCTGCCTTTTGCTACTGTTTTAGGGAGTTTGGCATGAGCATTGGGGAGAAAAGTTTCACTGATATAGGTTACTCAAATTGGAAGACGGCATTGCCATCTGGTAAAGAAATCAGGAGGCATGAGACCTCAAGTGACCATCTGCAATGTATGACACTCTGGATGAAACATCAGATATGCATTACAAAAAAAAAAGGAAGTCAACACTATTCTCAGTGATGCTCAGCTAGAGTTTCATCGCTACTGTCTGTGGGCAATTATCGAGATCATACAGATTCTAGCTGGGAAGAAAAGCGCCTTAAGCGCCTATATCAGTGAACTTGGTATGGAGGACGGATTTTTTCAGACTGTGTTCAACCTTGCCATCAGCAGAGATAAGAAACTGGAAGAAATTCATAGCTCAATTCCACGCAATGCAAAGTATATGTCACCTGAAATCCATAATCAAATTCTCGGTCTACTCGCGAAAACTATCCAGCAATAAATCCGAAATGAAGTTGATGATAAGAAGTACACAATAAAGGTGGATGAAACTCGTGATAAGTGCAACCGTGAAAATCTGTGCTTATGTGTGAGATACTTACAAGACGGAAATATTGTTGAACATCTACTTGCAGTTATTCAAGTTTCCAGTTTTGATGCACATTCCTTGACGGACTCCATCATAGCAATACTTCAAGAGCATAGCTTCAGTTTGGAAAACGTTCTTAGCCAATGCTATGATGGAGCTAGTGTGATGTCGGGACGATCTGGGGGTGTTCAAAAACTTCTCCAGGAAAACCTGGGCCGATCTGTTCCCTACATGCACTGCCATAAAACACCAGCTACACTTTGTAGTTGTGCATGTGATTTCGGCTGCGGATGTTGACGTGGATGCCTTTTTTGATACTTGCAACATTCTGTACAACTTCATACATAAGCCAACTGTGTCTGTTCACTACACTGGGCAAGCACTGAAACGACTGTTGGAACAGCGGTGGACTGGCCACCTAGCTACTGTGAAAGTCATCTCTGAATCATATAAAGCTATCTTGACAATTCTATCGGACATTGCTACAAATGAGAATAACACATTTTTACCTGAAATAGTGGTGGAGGCAATCGGATTGTTGAAGCTGATCAAAAAGAAACCCTTTCTGTTCCATACTATAGCTGTCCACAAAGCATTGAGTATACTAGCACCTGTCAACATTCATCTACAATCAGTCAGTATCAATCTGATGCAGGCCTTGATGCTGATATCATCTTCGCGAGCATCCATTGCTTTGTTGAGAACTGATGAAACATTTACCAAATTGCTGGATGAAGTTAAGCTGATTCTGCAAAATACTGCAGGTGATGATAACAATGTAACAATACAAGACCACCAGCTTGCAGAAAAGAGAAGACATCGTGAAAACTCTGGTTTCAAAGACTCCATCTGCACAGAGATAACACCAATTTGTCAGAAAATGATAACCTCAAACGATCGTGGTTCTGTCTAATTGACAGTATCCTGGTTGAGCTTGATGAACGTTTCTCGGAGAAAAATTCGCATCTTATTCGTGCCACGGAGTCACTAGGTCCCGAATCAGAACATTTCTTTGACAAAGACCGAATGGGATTTCTTGCAGACTTGGTCTGCCTTGAAATGGACAGCTTTGTTTTGGCTCAAACTGATGTTGCCAAAAAATACATCAGTGACCACTGGAGGAAAAACGACAAACATAACCTGGTGTCTGTTTTGCAACATCTTTTCCATTTGAAATGAGGCAGCATTAACAATTGGATCCTCAACTGCAACACGTGAAAGAGTTTTTTCTGCTCTGACAAATGCACTTACAGATCTCCATCAGTCGATGTCTCATGAAAGACTGGCGTGCTTGATCCTCATTGGATTTGAGAAGTGCATCCTTGATGATATATGTCAGAGTGTTGATGGGAAGCATAAGATATTGAGAAACTTCAATTCTATTCAGAATAGACAATTACAGTTGTTTTAATAACAAAATTTGGACTTAGTTTACATTGCTTTAATTAACTAAAAGGGTTTACAGTTGTTTTAATAACAAAATTTGGACTTAGTTTACATTGCTTTAATTAA